GGCCTCATATGTGATTCAACATTGCCTTGAGGCCTGGAGTGCTTGGGGAAAACCCAGAATTTTAAAAAACAGACAATGGACCAGCATATACCTCTCAAAAATTCCGACAGTTTTGTCGGCAAATGGATGTTACCCATCTAACTGGCCTACCTTATAACCCTCAAGGACAGGGCATTGTGGAACGTGCCCATCGTACACTCAAATCATATCTGATTAAACAAAAGGGGAGTATTGAGGATGTTCTACCCTCGGTACCAAGAGTTGCTGTATCCATGGCACTTTTTACCCTTAATTTCTTGAACTGTGATGCCCAAGGCCACACTGCGGCTGATCGCCACAGTTTAGAGCCTGATAGGCCAAAAGAAATGGTAAAATGGAAAGATGTCTTGACTGATCTCTGGAAAGGCCCGGATCCTATTCTTATAAGATCCAGGGGAGCTGTGTGTGTTTTTCCACAGGAGGAAGAAAACCCCCTGTGGATCCCTGAAAGACTCACTCGAAGAGCTCCTTCACAACTCCAGAATAAGAAGGATGGAGGCCAAGTGGGTGATGAAGACTCTCCTACTCGGGATGATGGTTCCTAGTATGATGGGAGAGTTACGGTGGGCCATCATGTCTACCTTCCCCTACCGATGCCAGTGATGCAGAATGCCCAGGTGTTCCCTAGATTTTTCACAAATAATAGAGAGTTGGGGCTTGCCTTTTTGCCTTTAGATCCTCAGATACAGAGTTTTCAGGATGAGAGAACCTTGTCATTAGTAGGAAGCTTGTGCTTTACTGTGATTTCTTCATTAAAGGATAATTTTATTCATATGGATCCAGAAAGATCTAATGCTAATCCTTTTGAATTAATGGAAGCTGTACTGATCTTTCTCCTATGATAGTGAGAAGGGACAGATTACTTTTGATTGGAAAGGGGCATTAGGCAACAGTCTGAGTGAGGGACAGAGCTCTGGATCATCTGATTGGTCCTCCTCCAATGTTAAGTATACCCCTTTTAAGAGAACTAATTATTCAGCTGCCCTTTATTTGGGTTGTGAGTAATGATACCTTAGGTAAGAATCAGAAAGAAATAAATTGTTCTGCTTAGAATTGTTTTTATGCATTATGCTGGGATGCTATTAAGCACCCTTTTGCTTTGGTAATGCGCATGCCTCGATTTATTCCAGCTCCTGTTGAGGCGCCAAGTAATTTGAGTTTGTTTAGGGAAAAGCGAGATTTTTGGGATCTCTGCTATTATTGTGGGCCTGATAGCCACCGCCGCGGTTACTGCTTCGGTTACCGCCTCGGCCCTTGCACTTTCTGCCACTGTGCAGACAACTCAAACCATTAATGAACTATAGGCCACTGTGACCATGGTCCTAGATAAACAGGCCACTGCCAATTCTCAGATACAAGGAGGCCTGATGTTGGTAAACCAACAGATTAATTTGGTTCAGGAACAATTGGATATATTGTGGCAGATGGCCAAATTGGGATGTGAACAAAGTTGCCTGGCCTTTGTGTCACTTAGTACAATATGAGAATTTTACAAGAGCAGCTAACCTGTCAAAAGCTCTGTCTCAACATTTATTACAGAATTGGACTTTTGAGTTTGAGCAGACACTCCGTGAGTTGAGAATGGCGATCCTGCAAGTGAATTCGACGCATCTGGATCTTTCTCTGATGGAAGACCTCTCCCCTGGATTTCATCTGCATTTTCTTATTTTAAGGAATGGGTGGGGGTAGGATCATTTAGCCTAGTTCTCTGCTGTGGAATAGTGTTGATGCTTTGGATGGTGTGTACGCTCAGAGCCCAAACAAAAGGAGAAAGTGGTGGTGGCACAAGCACTTGCTGCCTTAGAACACGGAGCATCCCCTGACATTTGGTTAACCATGTTAAAGCAATAGGTCGCTGGCCTCCCAGCTCTTGCACCCCACGAGGCTAGTCTCATTGCACGGGATAGAGTGGGTAGGCTTCAGCAGCCCAAGGAGTTGCAAGGCTAAGCACTGCACAGGAGAGGTCTGCGGTATAACGACTTTCTCCTGGGAGATAAGTCATCTTGCATGAAGGTTCTATGTCATGATCTCCTTCCCCCAGAAAAAAGACATCGGACTGGTCAGGACTTCCTCTGGGGATAAGACCCTGGAGAGGAGCTTTGTACATGTTCCGAATTTGCACATGGGGATTTGACCTCTATCTCCACTCCAAAGTTGTGGGTGTCCTATTGCTTCAAAAATAAATGAATAGGGGGAGATGTGAGGAGCCGCCCTCGCTATCGCTATTGCCGTTAGAAGATGGCGCTGACATCCACTGTCAGTTGGAGTTAACTGTCGCTGTCAGTTGGAGTTAACTGTCGCTGTCAGTTGGAGTTAACTGTCGCTGTCAGTTAGAGTTAACTGTCGCTGTCAGTTGGAGTTAACCGTTTAAACTGTGCCTCTCCCGTGACGTCATCTGGGGTGATGTGCAAACCACCAATCCCGGCTCTACACATCTCACTCGGAGCTCCTAGGCTTATATAAGGGGCTGGGTTTCTTAGCTTGGGGTCTCCTCTAAGAAGCTGATCA